TTCGGGGCGCTACCTTAATATGAATAGAAACCATGTAGAAAGACACATTCAAACACATGTAGAGTAGACGAGGACGAACCCATCAAGGCATCCACTCGGAGATCATTCTCGACCTGTATCTCACTGTCCGATGCACCTGCAATCTCTTGCTTCGACATCTGCATGACTTTGTTCTATAGTCACCTCCTCTTCCGCCTCCCCGTTTACCTCTTCTTCCGCCTCCCCACCCTTGCTTCCCTCTGCCCTCATTGGCTGCTTTGGCCGGACATTGTAAAGGCTACCCTCCCAATTGACGCGTGTGAAAATGAGCTGGTCCAGGGTCTGAGGCTGCATCCGGTTTCGCAGCCTGGACTTGATCTGCCCCGTCTGTGAGAACAGCCGCTCCACGGCCGACGACGACGCTGGAATGGCCAGGTAGTGCATGTCCACGATGATGAGTGCGGGACAGTCCTCATGCAATTCCCACCATAGGTCGAGGGTACGAACCTTGCCGAGGCCTATCGCCTGCATTGACTTGGATAGGCACTTGGTGATCTCCGACGCCACATCCACCCCGTTTTCCAGACTCACACCATCGAAGTCGAGCGCTGGCCCTAGGTCTAGCCCCGTGACATTCGCCAGTGCATGGACGGGAACGTCGTTGTGAGGCGTTTGATCCTCACTTTCCGCCATTAAAAAGTCCTTAAAGTTGCCTGTTTTAAATTGCCGTCATCGCTTCGCTTATCGCCGCGTTTCTCCTGGCCATACGTGTCCGCTTTCTTCAGTGCAAAAAATGTCCTATCCGTGTGCTGGTGTATCATACACCACGCTTTGTTCCGTACATGATTGTACGAGTCATGCGTGGAAGACTTTTCAATAATGGGTCCAGACACGTCGCCACCGCTAGCGGCAGCATGCGCCGGAGATTAAATCGACGCATTTTGTCAGTGCGCGCGAGCCTCGCTATTTGTTGCACAGAGGGATGCAGGTCGCATAGTGCCTATTTTGTGGATATCGAGCCGCCGTCGCCATAGCCCCACGTGTACAGGCGTCTAAGGTCCGAGGGAGGAAAAGGAAGGGGGAGGAGACACGGAACGAAGGGCCATGCGGGCAGCTTTACACGATTCCTCCCGAGCCAAGGCGGGATAGAGAGGGTTATGCCCGGTAAGGGACACGACGGCTAGCCTCAACGCCCTCTCTGAGCCGCCGGGTCTCCTTTCTACCCCCGGCCTCGGCTCGAGAAACGACCACTCCTTCCCCCCCTCAAATACACCAGAGCGCTCGACCCCTGGGCTGTACGGTAGGGTAAGTTCCAATATGGAGCTAACTAGGGGAGTAAAAGGTGGTTTTCTAGTTCTAGCATGCGCTTTCTCCCGACCGATGACGTCGTGACGAGATTATTGCTGAAAGAAAAAGCACATTACAACGAAATCAGATCGTTACCCCACGGCCCCTGGTAACGGATCGGATCGAGCCCAAAAGAAGGGACTGAGCCGTTGCGCGATGAGGAACGAGTACGTGGTAGTGCACTTTTCAAGCCACGCACGTGATATTTTACTTCCTGCTCTGGGCTCTCGGCTGATGTGGCTGCAATTTTAAGTCAGTTTTGTGTGGAAATAGCGTATATCTGTGCCCTGGTATCCTTCAACTCTCTTCTGTGTACGGCTCAACATTCAACTTACTCTCATGCACATAGGCGCGCGCGAAGAACAAGCATGGGGACCTCGTCAGCGTCTCCTGCGCGTATAATGACGGATCCAATGTTTGGTGACATGTCACCGGACACATTATTACTAAAATTTTTACCAACGGTGGGCATGATGACGATAAGCCTTCTTCTCGGGTAAGGTACATCGTTAGGGAGATCACTACGTACTTCCGTTGTTCTTGAAATGGGGATGTTGCTGGACATCTTTTAATGCAAACCCGTCTCCATTGGATTTTATTAGCACTTGTTCACTTCTTGCACGAATTTCTCGTCAATTTTGTGTAGATACGTAAGTGTCCGCTGCGGCCTAATTTCACCGGTGGAGATAGGCGGAATAAATAAGCTCCTCGGTTGCTTCGCCTTGCCCGCTCTGCTCTTTTTAAATTTATCGACCACGGATCTATATAGTATTCAGTGGTCTTTCGTGGGAGGGATGGCATCAGCGAAATTAGTGGTTTTTGTCCTTGTTGTAGGGCTGACCTACATGAGCGAGAAGAAAGGGCGTGGTCTTTCTAATGGAAGGGGGATGGTTGAAGCTGGCTTACGAGGTAGGTATTGCTCGAAGACCTGCGGCCATGCATACCATCCCACTTTTTGAGTGTCTTGGATGAGGCTCAATGGCTTGGCTTTTTACGCACCTTCTCCCCTATTCATCCACTCCCTTTCTCTGGTGTCCTAGGTATCATGGCGACTCAGAGCAACGATTTCGCCTTTGGCATCCCGGTCTCTATGGCACTTTACAGCAGTACTCATCCAGAATATGTCGCGTATATCTATCTGCTGGCTCCTATATCCCTGGTACGTCATTGAATATCCTCATACGGTATCCCTCGTACGTCACTGAGTATTCTCAGACGGCCCGTTCCTTGCTAGTCGTGTTGCGCTTGACCGGCCCCCTCCGCTTCCACGCTCTTTCCGTCCTCACGCAGGTTCTTCTGAATCCGATCGCCTTTACGCTGTGCGAGCTGGGCCTTGTCAAAGAAATAGCAGAACGCATTCGGACATCGTCGTCTCTGTCCCTGTCATCCTCCACACCCTCATCAGTGGCCCTGAGTGTGCCCGATGACAGGGAATTGCTCGCTGCCCCTCCCACTTCTCCGCTCTACCTCCCCCCCCCTCTCTTTCTCAAGGTTTTGCGACAAGTCGTATTGAATCCCATTCTCCTCTGCACCTTTCTCGGCCTAGTCACCTCCCTGTCTCTCCACCGGTACCACCAGCCGTACTTGCCCCCTTTCATCGAGATGACTCTGCAGCAGTGGGGAGTGGTCTTCCCGGCCGCCGCCTTGTTCGTCATGGGCGGTAACATGCACGGTAGGGGTAGCTTAAAGGATGACAAAGCCTACCTTTTCATGGTGAGCCGGAGTGGGGACAGGAAGAGCGTGGAATGGCGAGGAGAGGAGGGGTGGGAGGAGGCTGGGTGGCTTGTGTTGCTTTCTCGCTGGCCGGCGCTACCTCACTCCCTTCAATGTTCCCCTACCTTCCCCCTCCCTGCGTTTTACTCTCAGATTGTCCTGGTTCTGGCCGGCAAGATCCTCGTTCTCCCCTTTTTAGCCTTCTTCCTCGTCTTTGTCATGGGGGGCGATGCCGACCTGGCAACTTTCGCCTTCCTCGTTGGTGCTTTTCCCATCGGTAGGACGGATTGAAAGGGTGGAAAGAGGGTTCGGTCGAGAAAGTTGAGGAAGAGACGAGGTGAGACCTTCAATGCCTTTCCTTTTGCATTCCTGCAGCGCCGACTGTAAGCGTCTATGGCCTCCGGTATTGCAAGCCTAACGCACCCGAGCAGGGGGCCGGGGGAGAGGGAGCGCGGAGTTTGGAGGGAGGAAGGGAAGGGCGCGCCTCCCTTGACTCGTGGCCGCCTGGTCCTACAGTGTCATCCACGGACCAAGGTGCGTCCCTCCGAGTATCCCCCCCCCCTTCTCCCGTAGCTTTGTGTCCTCTCCCTTTCTTCCCTGGACGCTTTCTGCTGACCTTCACTCTTCGCATTGCCTCCTCTCTCCACCTCCGTCATTTTCACTTCTTCCCACTCCACGTTCCTCCAGCCTCACTCTCGCTGGCCATCGTACTCTCCACCCTGGCCGCCCTGCCCATCCTCCTTCTCTGCGTGCTCTCTCTTCAGATTCAGACCTCTTCCACCTCCTCCTATCGCCTCTTCCACACCTCCCTCTTCAATCTGCACCTCGTGTCCGGTATCGCGAGCGCGTGGACCTCGTTTGCATTCCTCTTTCAAGCCTTTCCTCCATCCCTCCCGCTTCCTATCCTCGCCTCCGCCCGCCTGCCTCCCTCACACTATCCCATACTGGTCCTATCTCTCCTCACTCTTTTTCGAGCGAGCATGGGATGCCTCTGCCACTCCTCCCCTCCTTCCGTCTCGCGCACATTCTCCTTTCTTCTCCTCGTCTGCGTTCTGGGTGTTTATCTTCTCAACCCTCTGCTTTGTTGGAGCGCGGCTCGGATGCTGACAGGGAGGAGAGAGCTCGTGTCGTCCCTCCTGCTCGTCCTCGGTCTCGCGCTGGTGCTCGGGGGCGTCGGGGAATTCCTGCGACACGGAGGACGGAAGGGCGAATTCAGGTGCACGCCGACAGGGGGAAGAGAGGGAGGGCGCGGTGGGGAGATTTTGCTGTTGGTGGTGTGTGGGCTGTCTGCATTGGTGTCCCTCCGGATGGCCTACTGGGGATCGGAGTGGCCACGGGCGAGGGAGACGGGCCAAAGAGAAGGAGGGCCGGCCGAGGACAGGGTAGTAGGGGAAGAGGAAGGGGAAGGGACTGCTCATGGGCAGACAGTTTCGGAGAGGGGCGTGGAGGAGGCGGGAGTCGGGCTGGAGGCTGTGCGGGTTTCCGCTTCGGTGGAGGCCTCTGCACCGTCGTCGACGCCCCTCCGCAAGACTCCCAGTCGGCGATCCAAGCTCCTGATCTCCTTTGTGTCGCTCTCCATGTCCATCACCAGCATTCGCAGTATCCTCGACCTTCTCCCTTCCTTCTACTCCTCCTCCGCCTCCTTCCTCTTCCTGGACCTGGCTGTCTTCGCCCTCATTGCTCCCGTGGTCTGGTGCCTGTACGGGCTCGACAGTGAGCTGGTGATATTCCAAGCGCTCCGATGGGGGGGAAGGAGAATGGTCCAGTTTCTCGCTGGATCGAAAGATGCCTTGCCGGCCTCCAACGCAGCCTGAGGACTTCTCCTTGTTAAAGTCTTTGGCGGAGGGAACCGGAGGATTCATTAAGCCATTGGGAGGGCGATTTTGTAAAAAGTGTTTCTATGAGAAATAAATTTTGAAGAAACGTGAGAACAGGAAATATGTTCAGGAATGTTGTTTCACTCTTGGTCCATGTATAGTATTTAGAACCCTGGATATTGATGCGGAGCGAAAGAGACAAGCAGCGGTTGAAAACTGCGCAGACGGTCATCTCACAAAGCGGACTGGGATGACAGCCGTACCCCTAACAGCTACGCCGAATACGGTATTCCCTTTGTTACGATCCGAAAAGTGATTAAGATCATGCCTCCATCACACCTGCAACGGGGCTCTGGGGAAGCGGGACGCACCCGCCATCTCGTCGCTTCTTTTACCGTTCATGTAATATCTCAAAGGCTTTCGTATTTTAAGACACCCATTCAGCTTACTCTTCCTCACTCCAAGTCCTTCAACATCTGCTCCGCGCCACTCACGCCCGTGTACCCCCCTCCTTCCTCCAGGTGCAGCTTCTTGACCGACCCGTCCTCGACCAGGGCGGAAAAGCGGCTGAGGCGAAGTCCGCCAAAGCCTCCCGTCTCCACGGTCAGACCCACTAGCTTCGCGAAGCCGCAGTCTCCGTCGGCCAAGATGCTCACCTTATCCCCCGCATCCAAACTCTTCGCCCAGGCGGAAGTCACGAAGCAGTCGTTGCTGGCGATGCAATAGATCGCGTCGACGCCCTGGGAGGGATCCGTGGTTGGAAATCTAGTCAACAAGGGTGGCTGGAAGAAGAAAAATACACAAATGACCCTCTTGCAACCGTGTTTATATTCATTACCTTCGCTTTGAAGCTCTCGTACATCGCCAGGTACTCTGGGGCATGGGTGTTCGTACTGTTGGTAGGAGGCGACAGAAAGTAAGATATGAATCCCCGACTTCTTGCGAGAGAAATCGAGCAATTTCAAACATGAAATAATGATTTCTGGTATTCGACGCCAACTTTTTCTTCCGGTGGAGGAGTTGTCAGATTTTCGTGTCTCATCCGTCTCCCGACTCTTTCTTACCACGTCGGTGTGAAGGCGCCCGGCACGCCAAACAATACTACCTTCTTGCCCTTGAAGAGGTCCGTGCCCGTGAGATCAGTGGCCTTGCCATCCTTCAGAACTTTGAAGGTAATTTTCTCGAGAGGCAGCGTTTGACCCTCCGCAATCTTGGCCATGGTTCGGAATGGAGTGGGCAAATTTGTTCTTACCGAGCAAGGTCTGTAATAATTAACGCGTGCCGATCATAGAGATTACTTCAATATGAGAAGGACGTCCCCATAGCACTGTAGGCTGGTGCGCGAGCATTACTTGCGGATCGCGCGGTGCGCTTGGACAGCATTTTGGCACCTGCTAGTCTTTCCTTCTACCGCCTGCGACGGCGGAGGATCACATTGCATATATACCGTGTGCGCTCACTCACATTATTCAGCGGCCCTCTCAATGACTACCAGTGGCATTACATTCCACGCTTGTTCAAATTATTGCATTAAATAAATAGATCCGACAGCTCCAGCACGAAACATACAAACCGTGTGTGACAGAAGCCCCTGTTTTCTTGTCGCCGTGGGCTGAGACCTCGGCGACATTCGGAGCACAGGTATCTTGATCTTTAATGACCGTGACACGTTCCAGTGGGAGGCACACCCCGCTGGGAAGACACGACCACGCACCGCTCCGTACGTAAGTTGTGAATAAATCCTTTCGTCGTAGGCCTGTTTGAAAGTGCAACACTTATCTCTGCCAATTTGGGGGCATGGGTATACTTTCTCGCCCGTCCCAGACGTCAAGTTGAAGCCCGTGACTAGGGCACGCAGGGGGATGTCAACGCCCTGCATACTTAATAACATACGGGTACATTTGAGAAACCGCATAAGTTGAAATTCATAGATTGCCCAAGGAAAATTTATCAGATGAGTTGAAGCCGATTCTTTACCATTATGCCCGCATTATTCCTTTTTTTAGGTGTTCCATCTCTGTGAGGAGGGTCACCATGCCGCCCCTCCCACCGCACCCTCCACCAGCCAATCTCACCCTTCAAGCGTTGGAAGAGACGTCAACACTGCTCCATGAGGCTATGCATTTGACCAAATCCATGGGGGGGAGTAGAAGCCCGGTGCCCCTCCATGAAACCTCGCTGACACTCGCAGCCCTGGACCTCTCGCTTACTTTCCGAGTCCACAAACTGATTCCAGGAGTGGAGGAGATGAGCAACGATCCAAATAAGGTCACATATCACTGTCTACAACAAGCAGTCCAGGCGTTAAAGCAAGCGGGAGGTCCCACGAATCACCCGCATGGCGGGTATGGGGGGGCTGACTCCATTCTTCTCTACCTCTCGCACGCCCTGGCCACCCTCATCAAATGCTTGAAGGGACTGCAGCAAGTAACGCGCGTGAAAGAAGTCTTCCAAACGCGCCTGTACTTCGCGACGCTGGTGGGTCTGGCTTGGTTCTGCAAGAAGAAGCGACAGGGTCGGCGCCTGGTCTTGTGGGTGGTTGGGATGGGTTACCTGGCCCGCAAGCTCCACTTCCTGAGCCTGCAGCGAAGTGTGGACGCCTCCCACCGGCGGCTCTTGACCCTGCTGCGGCTGTGGGTGATCATGGACAGCGTCATGGTCTACACGGAGAGCTGCAAGGACCGGAACGTGGCGCACCACACCCTGATCGCCCGCCCTTTCCGGGACGACGTGAAGGCCAAGCGGTGGCTGTCCCGGCAGCTCCTGGAGGCCGTGCCCCCCCCGCCCGAGACCGCCTACTGGTACGAGTCAAGCCCCGCGGCGGCCGCCCTGCGTCGGTTCATGAACGTGGTGTACGCCTCCTTTGGGAACGGGGTCGCGTTCAGCGGGGTGAGCAACGCGGTCTCCCCCCCCCAGAGCCCGTGGCGCTGGCGCCTGCTGGGGGTTCCCGTCACGGCCGCCTCCTTCCTCTACTACGCCTTCCGGCCCGGCATTGCCTCCCGCGACGCCTGCGCCAGCATGAGCCCCGCCCCCATCGAACTCCTCCAGCAGGCCTGGACGTCGGCGCACAACCCCCTGACCGAGTGGCTCGCCCTTCGCCTGGCGCGACGCCGGGGCCTGGCCTGGCAGCGTCGCGTGCGGGTGGCGGGCGTCTCCTGCTACCTCCTCTCCCAGAGCGACCCCGGCTTGGGCCCCGGGGCGGCCCGACCCCTCCTTTTCTTCGTGCACGGCGGGGGGTTCGTAGCCCACCTCTTTCTGGCCGATATGCCCGCCCTGGTGGCTTGGACGCTCGCCCTGGGCCCGCGCGCCGTTCTCCTGATCCCCGAGTACACCCTGGTTCCGCATGCCCGCTTCCCGCGGCCTACGCAGGAGCTCCTGGCCGTCTACAAGGCGGTGCGGGAGGGAGGGAGGGAGGGACTGGGCTTCGTCCCGGCCTGGGTGGCGCTCGCGGGGGAGTCCGCGGGCGGGAACTTGGCGGGTTCCCTGTGCGTGGCACTGGCCGGGGCGGTGGTGGAGAGGGAGGAAGGGGGGCGGGGAGGAAGGAAGGGGGACCGGAGGGGAGGGGCCGTGGGGGGGGAGAGGCCGAAGGGGGCCAGGGCCTTGGGCCTGTGCGAGACGCATCCGCACTTGGTCTCCGTGGAGCCGCTCCCCTCTTTGGGGGGAGGAAGCGACCTCGACGGTCCGACCGGGTCCAAGCTGGAGCGGAGGGAGGAGGAGGTCGGGCAGGCGCGAGGCCTCCCGACGCCGCCTCCCTCCTCCTCAACCTGCCGCCGGCCCGGGGGCGGGGGGAGGGCCGATGAGCCACACGTCGTCAGAA